GTGACAGGTTATTTCTAATAATATCACCCTTGTTAGAATCAGAGTTTCTAAGTTATACCGCATTTTGTCCATTTTTAGCCAAAAAGTCATTAAGCTGACCTTGAAGATCTTTGTGTACTTGAGCAAAATGTAAAGGATGAATCTACTCTAATCTATATTACTCTATTCTACATCCCTACAAAGTTTATTAGAATTCAGCTAAAAGCTTTCATGCCATCGTGTTTACAGAATGATCACACACATATGCAAATGCTACCAAAACATTGCCTCATTTCTAGTAATAACTACGAAGCTAGCACGGTTCAGGTGCTGCTGACATGTTTCTGCAGACTCCAGCAGTGATGAGGGTTCACTGTTTCACAGCAAATAATCATACAGGTTATAGAGCATCTCTTAGGTTGATTGCATGCAGGACCTGAAGAGTAATAAGCTGAGTAATAAGATGTAATTTGTTAATTTCATACATGTGTGATATTCTTTTACTGTTAATAGCTTCGTCTGCTTGTTAAAGCTCGGGGTTCAGCACCTGTCTTCATCACCACGCCCTGACTCATCACTCACACATGATTGGTTAACGTCTCGGAACTACTTCGTTTTATTCGTTAACCGATTGTTCAACATCCAGTTTCCGTGCCAAGTCACTTCCAGTAACTAATATAACATAGAAAATATTTGCATTTTTTCAGATTTTGCACATATACCGATTCTTTACCGTGTAGATGTGAAACGACAATGATGAAGGAAAACTCACTTTCTCGTTTTATCCAGTAAACTGGTTCGTTTTCTTTTCTTCTGAAAGTCTTAACCGGAAATTACTTGAAAAGCGACCGGAATCTCTTCCTGGTCGATGTGGACAGAAAGAAGAAATTCAGGGTGAGGTCTGTTGTTGTAGTTGCGATAATAATGGGGAGAATTAGTGAAGATATGTCGGGAAAGTCCCGTGATTTATGTAGGCTTGCGTTGTGCGGCTTATGAAGCCACTTTCACGATGCTTGAGCAGATGTGCAGCGCTGCATGAACACTGTGTTAGCCGCTAACGCTACAGACTACTGCACCTGTGACCGGCTTCTTTGTGTCATTTAAGTCTGCGGTTATTTCCCCCATTGACTGTTAGTAAACTCAGCTTATTAAGGTAACTTTAGCAGTTTTTCTGTAACCATCCAGGGCGGCCAGCCCCGGTCACTGCTACCCGACGTGCTGTCCCAGATTGACGAAGAAGTGTCTCCAGAAATGCGTCTTCACTCAGTTTGCCCCTGGCTGGATGTTTGTAGATCCACATAGTCCCAAAATAGTTCCGAAAGTCCGCGATGGCGTCATCCAAAGCAAAGGTCGGAGTCACCAGCGAGACAAACTCCCTTAAAGAAAGTAAAAGCAACGCGAGCAGCTCAGCGGAAGACGCCTCACCTAATAACCGCACATACTGCCTTGATGACCTGGAGACGGTCGCCACCGTCGGTGAGTTGACCACAACTGTTCGGGTGTCTTATCTTAGGTTTACACTGGGTGTTCCCCGGAGGAGTTTGACATCAGAAAACCTTTTTTAAAACTGATGAATTTTCATATTTAAAAAACATAAAGCTGGAGTCACACCTGGACCAGGTGCTGATGGTGTGCAGAGTTTTACAGAGTCTGTGCTGATTGGTTTCTGTGATCGTCACATGTTGTTCTAAGGAAGTAGAGTGAAGCTTTGCTGGAGTGTTCAGTGATTTCCTCTGTTCTCCTGTTATTGTTATTATTATTGTTATTTCCTGTTCAGCGTCTGCTGTTATTGGCTAAGGTTCTCTGCTGTGAAACAATTGGATCTGTTTCCTCATTAAGAAGATCTCAGTTGGTCTGAACTGTGAGCATGCAGTGTGTCACTCTCACTCACATGTTCACTCTTCTGCGTTTTCATTCAGTGTCCAGTGTGTGGCTGTTTGGAGTCCTCGACTGTGCTGTGCTCAGGTCTGATGGACCGAATCCTGACGTTGTTTCATTCCCATAGAAACTGTTGGAGGTTCTGGTCAGCTGAATGAATCTTCTACCGTCTCTTTATTTGTACTTTTCCCAGTAGTGTAAGTTTACTGCTGCTGCCCGTCAGCCCTCCCAGGGTACTGCCACCAAAC